CATCATGCATTTGATGAATACAATTAGGCACGTACAGCCCACATAACCCGGTGGTGAAGGCGGAGATTTCATCATGCCTTAATTACAAAACGAACACTAAAACATTTGATGACTGTTGTGCCATGGGCCAATAGTCCGTACTATCTGCACTAAAATAACAAAAATTTCAGGCTACTATCTTAATCCCCCATGACTATCAGCTATCTCAAATTGTCGCCGAATCTGCAACCATTTTGCTCCGTGCGTTCTCTAGTGCCCTCTTCCGACGAGACACCATGAGTCCAATAATTGTCCCAGTAATCTGCGTTGCCCTCGCCATTACCCACACTGCAATCTGCCAAAGCACCAACAATAATAAAATGTTAATTAATTGTTAACCTATCGACGAAAAAAAACACAACGATAATAACAAATCCAAGTTGTACATTACATATATACATACCCTGCATATGTGTGGATCCAAGGCCTTGTCGATCTTGTGGACGAGCGTGTTCATCTCGGCCTGGAAGTCGTCGTACAAGGGCTTGACGTCGGAGTTGAAGGCGTACTCGGCGAGGCTATCCATGGGCGCCCTGTGGCTGACGGCTTCCAGGGCGTCGTCCAGCAAGACGTGGGTCACCGCCGCGAGGCCTCGCAGCGCTCGCAGGTACGACTCCACCGTCTTCTTGCTCACCTTCCGATCGTACGAGTCGTCCGCGGCCGCCATCACGATGTTCACGTACATCCTCACAGTCTGTTCATTATATACAAGAGTTAAAAAGAATCTTAGGTCCCGTTCTTTTCTCAAACTAAGAGTTAGATGAAGATTTTCGTGGCACGTTTTTTAAACTGCTAAACGGTGCGTTTCGTGCTAAAATTTTCTATATGAAAGTTGCTCTAAAATATCATATTAGTCTATTTTTCAAGTTTGTAATAATTAAAACTCAATCAATTATATGTTAATACCACCTCGTTTTGCATAAAAACTTAATCTTCATCTTCAGAAGAAAAGAACACCACCTAGTCAATTGATCATGACTAAACCTTGCTAGCTATATTAATCCTGCTTTTGCGATCATTTTAAGATATAATTAAAGTCGTTGACTTTTAGATGTATTTTATTATTCTTTTAAAAAAGATAATTATCAATTATTTTGTTGTAATTTGTTTCATGATTAAAGGGAATTTAAACATAATTTATATATACTTTTTATATCTACATAATTGTTTTGAATGGATGGTAATTCTTATGTTTAAAAGTTAACAATGTAATCTATTAAGAAATGGTGGAAGTAGCAACAAAACAAAAAAAAAATTCTAGAGTAGGAGCGTTACGTACCCTGTGGACTGTTTCTGTAGATGTTTCGTTTGGCGCAGCGAGATTGAGCTCCGCAGTATGCTGAAATTTTCGGAAAAAGCAATACGTTAATTAGAGTAAGAGTTGTGTTGCATAATCAAGAAGAATACTAGTACTAGTAATTAGTGAGAGGTACAGTAGAATATTTAATTAGATGGTTACTCTATTAACTTATTAAAGGAATAGAAAAAGAAATCTCCACGTTCGCACTCACGGCCTAGAAATTCCCATATTAATCGGAGAAAAATAAAAACATAGCCCACATAGAAATACAATTTAGAAATAGGTAAAATTCGGAATTAAAAAAATAGGAAATATTAGAAGAGGAGACTAGAGTCCATATAGAAATACAATGGAGAAACAATAGAAATTCGGAATTTAAAATAAGGAATATTAGAAGTAGAGTATAGATTCCATATAGAAATACAATTAAGAAAGAATAGAAATTCGGAATTAAAAATAAGGAATATTAGAAGTAGAGTATAGAGTCCATATAGAAATACAATTAAGAAACAATAGAAATTCGGAATTAAAAAATAAGGAATATTGGAAGAGGAGACTAGAGTCCATATAGAAATACAATTGAGAAACAATAGAAATTCGGAATTAAAAAATAAGGAATATTGGAAGAGGAGACTAGAGTCCATATAGAAATACAATTGAGAAACGATAGAAATTCGGAATTAAAAATAAGGAATATTAGAAGTAGAGTATAGAGTCCATATAGGAATTTAAAATTTAAAACTAACTAAAATTCAGAATAAATATAATAAAATTAAAAGTAGAGTTTAGGGTTCGTATAAAAATACAATTTACAAATAACTAAAATTCGGAATTTAAAAAAAAACATGAGAAGAAGAATCTAAAGTCAATACAGGAATATAATTTATAAGTAACTGAAATTCGAAATTAAAAATTAAAGAATATCGAAAGATGAGTTTAGAGTCTACATAAAAAAACAATTAGAAATAATAAAACTTCAAAGTTAAAAATAAATAATATTGGAAGAAGAGCCTAGAGTCTATATACAAATACAGATAACGAAAATTCGGAATTAAAATAAATATATTGAAAGACGAGTCTAGAGTTCATATAGGAATATAATTTACAAATAACTAAAATTTGATATTAAAAATAATTAGTAACTAACACGTATATAAAATACAATATGAATATTACACATTAGTAGTTTCGTAAAGTTAGTACAAAATTTAAAATTATGTTGTCATTTTAATATATTTAAATAATATGTTGAGAAGACATATATGTTATTATATGAGAGAAAATATAATGATGCTAGCCGCGCAATCTGTACGAACCACCATACTAGTTACCATGACACGAGAAGCCATGACGAGAGCATCCTTTGCTGCCAGGCATACCCCCGCCGACTTCTCCGTGGCCTCAGCGTACTGCATTTAATTAATTCCCACCAAAAGATCATCAAAATTACTGCACAATTAATTTATTGCTCATAACACATAGAAATTTAAAATGGTGAACTATTTATTGCACGTGTACATGTACTTACCAGACAACCATCATCTATGGAGATGATTTCACGGTAGTGCTTCAAGACTTTCTCCTTCTCCTCTTGCAGATAATCGGATGGTCGTCGCGGCGGCGCCGGCGGTGCGCCGCCGCCGTCGCCTTTCTGGCACTGCACCGCCGTCAGAGGCGGTCGGGCGGCCGTCGTTATCCTGCAGGACTGCGTCGTCGTCTTCAGTCTTGGGAGGCAGCAATTACGTTGGCTCGCCGCCGGCGAGATGGCCGGCGAGGTAAGCGGACTCCTCCTGATCGACAATGCCGTCGCCGGCGAACACGAAAAGAGACAGCTCTGCAGCGTGGTGGCCATGGCGATCGAGCAGATTGTTGGACACGATCGAGAACAATGTACTGTTCCAATTGCAGAAAGTGGCGATCAAGTAGCTTGTCGGCCACGATCGAAACAATGTACTGTTGCAATTGCAGACTCAGAGAGTTAGTGACTGATAGTAAGCTATTTATTATAACTCATCTAGCCAGATATATCCGACTCGGATTAGTAGTTTATGTCCAGTCGGCCGGAGTTCTTTTTGGAATCGGATTTATCGTTCCAACGCTGCTTGCTGAAATAGTCCGAATCGCCGCTAGCTTGTGATCCTATCCGACACATGCACATACGTACGTACGTACGCGTGAGGCGCAACAAAATCCATCCTGTACATCGCAATAACATGCATTTCGTGCGGTCGTTGTGTCGCTTCTAACTACCGGGCAAATATAATACTCCCTCCGTAATTTTTTTATAAATTTGACAATTCATCTTATTTAAAAAAATATATAATTATTATTTGTTTTATTGTGGCTTGATGTATCATCAAATATTTTTTAAGCATGACTTAATTCTTTTTATATTTGCTCAAAAAATTTAAATAAATTCGAAATGCAATCCAATAAAAAGTCGATATATTAGATGGGCTACGATTGTAGCAACTTAATTAGAATATTGGACTAGACTGAGAAAATCCTAATTAAGTTGATACAAGCGAAGTTGAAGAAACTTACTTCCTCACCGGAGATTAAACCGATCTAGCCTCGTTCGAAAACTAAGAACTCGCCGAAAAGGGTGGCAACACGTGAAAAATTGTATACAAAAGATACCTTATAAGGTCCGTGTAATATATATCCCTAATCTAGCTGAGTCCGATTCAAACATGATTCGACCGCCCAGAGATTTATCTCCTAAAAAGAAAACGAAAATTACGCACCGGCCTAAATATAACAATTATTATTTCCAAAACTAAACCTAAAACAACTCTAACTAGTTCAATCCACTTTCGAACTGAACCACCTTTCCTACGTCGTCAATCCCTCCTGTTGACTGTTGACAGTCGTTACAGACAAACTTCGATTGTCAATATAACTAAAATAATAGAGAATTAGCTATGCTTGCAATGCATATTTATTCCAGAATAATATAATTCCACTTGTACTTGGAGAATAATATGTTGTAGGAATTTATCAAATAAAATAAGGAGAAAATGAAGAAAAACTCACTCCTAAGCAATTTTATGGATAAGAGGGCCCACAAGTCAAGTGTAACCGTCTGTAAACCGCTTTAACTGCCACAACCGCCTAAAGGACCCACATAGCAAGCTTATGAATAAGAGGGCCCACAAGTCAGGTGTAACTGTCCGGAAACCACATTAACTGCCACAACCGCCTAGAGGACCCACATGTGAGTGACCCTGCCGATGCTGGAGGCCTGCTGGGCCGGCCTAGGTACCCTGGCTGCTACGGCTCAGCTCGGCGCTCCACGTGGACATCCAGGATCACTTCTCAACGACGGTTACAAGGGCAAAACTGACATTACGCATTAGGATAACCGTTATACCAGCCCTATAAAAGGAGGAGCTCATTCACTCTCTCAACACACTCAAGCAAGCTCAAATTAAGGCCCTATATGGCATGCTAGCACAACTGCATAGGGGACACCCACATAGCTAGCAAATAAAACATATCAGAAACGGACGAAAACTATCTCCACTAGAAAATTGAGGGGAACAAATTACTTTTGCATCGTAAGAGAGAGATAGTTGATGCATAATCTTTGAATTCGTAATGCTAGTATAAAGTGTTGAACAAGGTTCACTCAAACATCAAATCTTTTTGGAGATTTCGATGCAACGGCAATTGTCTTTCTTCGGTCGTATAAGCCATTAATAATCAATGTGAACATTTATACAATCTTGCTGAAGAAACTATTTCGTACATCATTTTAGAATACCTAAATCTCATCTACAAATATCTACTATCACAAAAGGTAGTACATAGCACTCCTGCATAATCCAACTTTCAAAGCATGTAGGCGAAGCTGTGTGATACATCACTATTCTGAAGGTAACACAAAATAGTATTCCTTTTATTTGGGCTGGGTGTAACTAGCTGTTGTGATGACTAGTAGTTTTTTTGTTGTCATAGTGCAGCATTTTATTGTAAGCATGTGCAAACATTTCAGTGAAAATCGCCTCTGCTGCGACACAGAACCATTGCTTGAGCCTTGATCTAGCCAAATTCAGGCCATCTGACAGAGTCATCTTTTGAGTTCATTGTCTTTGATGACCTGGTCTTACTAGGCTCATCTGTCCAAACCATTTCCATCTGCAGAAATTATTAACTTAGAAATCTGATAATTTTATTTGTGTGATGACTGTCCAATGTTTTGTTTATGACATAGGAATATATACCTCACCAACAACTACCGTGTCTCCCTCTTTAACTCCACGTTTGATTAGAGTTTTGTTGACACCACATGCCTCTAAAGCATGCTGAAATCGTTTCAAGGATTCTGAATACCTGCATTTGGAAAGAGATCAGATATTACAATTACTTAATTAGTAATCTTAAAAGAGGTCAATTTAGATAAACGACCAGTAATGCAGTCTTAAAATCGCTTTCTGAGACTGATCTTCCAAAGTGTAACGAGTGAGCACTGTACAAAGAAACTACTTACTGCCAATTAGTCATCTGAACAAAACGTTCAATTCCAGCTCCAACAACGTTCCATGTATTCGTGCCCTTATCATGAAAAATCTCAAATTCGTTCATGGGAGCTCTCCTTTCCCTTTTTATTGCATCAGCCACATGATTCAGATTTTCAGGGCCATTCCATTCTGCAGAAACATGCAGTAGTAAGATAAACATCTTAAAACGCAAAAATGTTATGCGTAAGTGTTAACCACGATAATGTAAAACGAATGCTAGTAAGAACACTACTTTAGCATAGATGGTGAAAGTAGCACATATGCATTTAATCTAAAATTGCGAACAGCTATAGTCAGTTAAAGTGCACTTCCATGCTTGAGCACCAGTTAGGCAGTTATTAGCTACTAGTACACTATAATTTGACAGAAAAATTTAGGCTATAGAAATACCTTCGTCATCTTTCATTCTTTGCCTATCTTTCTGTAGAACCTTGTATGCAGCAAGAACAACATCCTCTGTTCCTTGCCTATTCATTGCACTGATGCAATAGGGCTCAATTCCTTCAGCCTGTAGCTTCTCCTGAAACTTATTCCATCTTTCCGATGCCTCTGGAAGATCCATCTTATTGTACACCACTATATAAGGTTTGTCAACCAATGATGGGCTAAATAGCTCCAGTTCTAAACGAACAGCCTCAAACTCATATTCAGGTTGTTCTCCTGAGCCGTCGACAACATGAACCTAAGACCCAAACCAGAAAAATAAACAATAACCAATAAATCGCACATACATTTCTAATATCATATATTCGAGGAGAAATAAGATAACCATGACATAAGAGATGTGGACTTAAAACATAGTAGATCCTAAAGAAAGGAGAGAAAGAGAGAAGGAACATACCAACACTGAACATCTCTCACTATGCCTTAAAAACTCATGCCCCAAGCCATATCCACGGTGAGCACCTTCCAGCAATCCAGGAAGGTCTGCGACTACCATTGTAGCATCAAAATCCAATGAGACCACTCCAAGATTTGGTAATAATGTCGTAAAAGGGTAATTGGCTATAGTTGGCTTTGCTGCACTAATAGCAGTCAGAAGGGTGCTCTTTCCAGCATTTGGGGCGCCTACAATCCCCACATCAGCAACCAGCTTCAGCTCCAAATCTATCCACCTAACAACCACCAATCATCCCAAAATGCAGCTAATGTAAGTCAAAGAAAGAAAACTTGTATATCAAGCAATACAATCTAAACCTGAACTAACATTTGTGTAAGCTAAATGGCTAATTTAACATGGGAAATCATGTCAAAAGCTCACTCCATAGCTAACTAAAAAAAAAAAGCATGAACAATCTTTTCAATGGAGTGAAGAAGAGAGCATACATTTCTGGACCTTTCTCCCCTTTCTCTGCAATCCTTGGCGCCTTATTTGTGCCGGACTTGAATGCGGCATTGCCGCGGCCGCCGCGGCCGCCGGGGAGAAGCAGCGCGCGCTGCCCGGGCCTCATCAGCTCGAGCAGCTCCACGTCGCCGGCGGCGGACCGCACCACCGTCCCCGGCGGCACCTTCACGACGACGTCGTCGCCCTTGGCTCCGGCCTGCTGCCTGCCCTGGCCGTGCGCGCCGCGGCCGGCGCGGAAGTGCACCGACTTGCGGAACGGCAGCAGCGAGTTCATGTCGCCGTCCACCTCCACGAACACGTTCCCGCCGCGGCCGCCGTCGCCGCCCGAGGGCCCTCCCAGCGGCACGTACTTCTCTCGCCGGAATGCCACCACGCCGTTCCCGCCGTCGCCGGCCTTGGCGTATATCTTCGCCGTGTCGAAGCACCGCATCACGGCGGGGACACCCTTCTCCTTCGTCTCCTCCTCCTCGTCGTCGTCGTAGTCCTCGAACACGTCGACTTCCTCGTCGTCGTCTGGGTGGAACACGACAACCTCGTCGTCGTCGTCGTCGTCGTCGTCATTGTCGTATTTGAGCTTTTCAAGCTCCGCAACTGCGATGGCGTCGCCTCGTGGACTCTGCTCGACAGCAGTAGCGACGAACTCCTCGTCGTCGCTGTAGCCGTCGTACTCTGGGTCGAACACCACGACGTCGTCGTCCTCGTCGTCCTCGTCGGGTAAGAAAGCCCGAGCTTCCCTGCCCTTTGCTCCCTCGAAGATGTCCAAGCGGCTGACAACCTGCTCCTCCTCCTCCTCCTCTACGTCGTCAAGGTGTTCGACCAATTGACGAGAAATGGCGCGACTCCTCAGGCCCTCCTGAGGGGCCACCCCCGCGTCGAAATGCCCAATGGTGAGGTCACCGCCGTCCGGCGAGTCCCGCAGAGGGAGCCGAGCAAACGTGGTGGCCCCACGGAGTCCGAGCTCCACCTCATCCTCCTCCTCCTCCTCATCCTCCTCGTCGTCGCCCAACCGCTCGCCATTCCGGCGAGTAAAAGTGGAAGCTCTGGGCTCGGGATTGGCGGTGGGGAAGCGGTCCAGCGTCACCTCCACGGACGCGGGGGCGTTGCGGAGCGGCAGCCTGGTGAAGGTGGTGGCGCCGCCGCCGCCAGCGGCGGACGACGACGCGGATGGGCGGGGAGGAGGGGATGGCTTGAGGGGCCTGGCTGAGCCTCGCTTGCTCCGGGAGCCCTTGGTGTTTCGGCGAGCCTCGGCGGAGAAGAGGCGGAAGGGGAAGGCGGCGGCGGCGGCGACGACGGCGACGGCCGGCGCCATTTCGTGGCTGTTTGAGCTGAGCGAGATTTTTCTTTTTTTTTTTCTTTTTTGGTTCTCCTTGAGCCGAGCGGATAAGATGAGTGGCGTGCGATCTGGACCGTCCATTTCCAGATCGTGCGGCAGGCGATGCGTCATCAGCTTGAGAGTTCCGTTCTTCTTGTGTCGACTGACACCTGTAGCAACAATAATGGTACGGTGAGAAAAAAAATCCAAATTGATAGTACTAGAAATTAATTGCAGAATCATCGTTTGGTTTACAATAAGCCATAAAACGACACATGAGCAACCAAAAATAAATTAGATTAAACTTTTATATACGTATAATTCACAGTTCAAAGGCTAATGTTAAAAGAAAAACAAACTGCAACATAAAAATCCTAAATTTAAGTTTTAAAATTTAAAATTCAGTTTTAGTGAAATTTGACACGGTAGTAAATCTTTATCTGAAGAGAAGTTTATCTGCTTTATCTGGGAGGGATGAAAGTTGAAAGGTAGGAGTACGTTTCAGTTGTGATTCTTATCAAGAGAGAGAGAGAGTCCAGTACACCACGCTATGGCGCCATGCTTAGCCTCGCCGAAATACATTACCGGGAGCAATGCTACACGTATTAAAATTTTCTTACTAGCAGATTAGATACACCAGAACAGAACAAAAACAGATTAGATATGGAGTCGCTGCCGTTTCGTTTCGTCGGTGCGTCAAGTGATTTCACGAGAATCTCTTGCCCTTCGGCCTATATAATGGTTTCACGCGCGATAGTCTCGTCCTAATCTAACGAAAAAGATAATGAAATAATAGTACTATATACCAGTATATCATTGGTCCATGGATAGGATAAATCCAAATAAAGTGACGTCACCCACCGCCGGAGTAGGGACGACAACTACCACCAGCCACATCGCCCTCCTTAAGCCCTCCTCCTCTCCTCCTCCTCCTCATCCCCCTCGCGATTACCTCTCCTCTCCTCTCCTCCCCCATTCATCGTCCCCCTCCGCCGCCGCCGCTGCAGGTATCCTCTCCTCGCAGATTGGAGATTTCTTGTGGATTTCGATTGATTTTTGTGTGGGCGATGGACTGACTCCACCTGGTTTGGATTAGTTTGGGAGTTCTTCAATCTTTGATCTTTTATTTATTTACTGTGCGCAATCAAATCGGAAACTTTCTGGCTGGTCTTTTATTTATTTCTCTCTCACTCGTCAATTCACTGTGGTTACTGATTTGTTTGCTGCTCTTCAGGCCCGCCGCTCCGCTGCTGGTCCTGCTGCTGCCATGATGGGGGCAAAGCTTTTGCTCTTACTGGTGGCCTCATCTCTATGTCTATCTGCTGCGGTAAGTGATCCTGACTAGTTAGTGATGTTTGATTTCTACGGTGGAAATGTGGTCTGGTTGTGGTTGTAATTCAGTTCTGTGTTGTGGTTGCAGATCGCTACGCAGCAAACCTGTCCGGCCGACCTCGATAGCAAGTGTGGTGATGCTGCTTCAGGGGATTGGGAAGGGGAGTTCTTCCCTGGCATCCCCAAGATCAAGTATGAGGTGAGGGAGGCCATGAAAGCTTACAGCTTTGATTAGATTATTGGATAAAGCTTGGAAATTTATATTATTGTATTGGACTATAACTGCTGTGACTCTTTGATTAGATTACTTGATAAAGCTTAGAAATTTTTAGATTGTTATATATTGGACTAAAACTGCTGTGACTTGTGAGCTAAGACTTTGTTGCACAATTGCACTGCAGGGTCCAAGCAGCAAGAACCCGCTTGCTTACAAGTGGTACAATGCTGAGGAAGTGATTCTTGGGAAGAAGATGAAGGTAGGGTTTATGAATTATGTCTTGTTGAACAGATCCTTTTATTCCCTTTTGCGTCATGGAATACATCTGAGTTTTGTATTTTATCTGCTTGCGTTTAGGATTGGATGCGGTTCAGCGTGGCCTTTTGGCATACGTTCCGTGGTACTGGAGGAGATCCTTTTGGTGCCCCTACAAAGTCTTGGCCTTGGGAGGATGGCACAAATTCGTTGGACATGGCTAAGAGAAGAAGTATGGCTATTACCTGGTTTCATGTTTAGGTTCAGTTCATTATGAATTTGCACGTTTGCTTAATCAACAACTTCTGTCTGAATTGTTATTGCAGTGAGAGCTCACTTTGAGTTCATGGAGAAGCTTGGAGTTGACAGGTGGTGCTTCCATGACAGGGATATTGCCCCTGATGGCAAAACACTCACGGTATGCCTTCATGCATAATAGTCTTATTATTTGTCTTCGAATGTGGTTTGAACTTGTGAAGCTCGAGGCTATAGCTATTTATCATGCCTACCCTTGGTTAACAGAGTAACTATTTTAATCATCTATTTAATTAAAACTATTTTAGATATTGGAAAAGCTCCAATCCTTTATATCTGAATATACCTTCAGAACAACACATAATATTTGGTCTTATGTACTTTTCAAGATGTGCTTTACTCCTGTGGAATATTTCTGTTAAATTTTTGGAATTTTATTTGGTCTTATTTACTTTTGAAGATGTGTTTTACTCCTGTGGAATATTTCTGTTAAATTTTTGGAATTTCTGGGTTTCTGTGTGATGTAGCTCTGGCCACCAGTGGAAGGTCTGGTATTTTATAAGCTTCTTGTTTCACATTGCAGGAAACAAATAAAAATTTGGATGAGATAGTTGAACTGGCAAAGAAACTCCAGGTTACATTTCTGCAACCTTAAAATTGTTAGCATTTTGTCGAAATGCATTGGTTCTGCTCTTTGCTCAGATATGATCTGAACTTCATGCAGGAGGAGACCAATATAAAACCACTGTGGGGGACTGCACAGCTTTTCATGCACCCGCGCTACATGCACGGTGCTGCTACTAGGTAGATCAGTTTTGCTGCATTTTGCATGTAAATTTGGAGTATGTTCTGAAGCTAATAGAAGCCTTCATTGGTACTGCAGCCCAGAGGTTAAAGTGTATGCTTATGGTGCTGCTCAAGTTAAGAAAGCTTTAGAGGTGGGTTATCTTTGAACTCTGAACATTGTGATAGGTTTTCCATAAGTCAATTCTTGATTTGGCTTTTACCACTTGAAGGTCACCCACTACCTAGGCGGTGAAAACTATGTTTTCTGGGGAGGAAGAGAGGGTTACCAAACTCTTCTTAATACTGACATGAAGAGAGAACTTGACCATTTGGTATGAGTCTTGACATATTGTTACTGTTCCTCTGTTTCTGTTACACTTACTACCACTCACTTTATCTCCATTTTGATTTATCATTTTGCCGTGTTGTCATCCAGGCTAGTTTTCTTCAAGCTGCAGTTGACTACAAGAAGAAGATTGGATTTAATGGTACTCACATGTCACTGCTATATCACATTTTTCCATGTATGACATGGATATAATACTGAATTTTGTTTTTATTTTTCAGGAACACTCTTGATAGAGCCTAAACCACAAGAACCCACAAAACACCAGTATGCTTATTAGTTTACATTAACAAAATGTCCACAGGATTAAACAATCCTAACCCTTGTTTGTCCTCTCCCAGGTACGATTGGGATGTTGCAACCACATTCTCTTTCCTACAGAAATATGGTCTAACAGGTACATATGTAGTTTGTTATTGGGTTTACAGTGATTTCGAAAGTTGAACTGTTATTTGGATTTCAGGAATTCATGTATTAACACCATTAGTGTTTTGAACAATTTTATTTACTGCTGTCTGTCTGGAGTTAACCGTGTATTGTGAAATAATCTAAAGTACATTCTTTTTCACCATATACAGGAGAATTCAAGATAAATGTTGAATGCAACCACGCTACTCTATCTGGACATAGGTTAGTTTCTTGCTTCCCTAACGTCATTCAAGGTAGCTTACAGTGGCAGTGTCATAACTCCATGGAAAATTTGCAGCTGCCACCATGAGCTTGAGACTGCAAGAATTAATGGTCTGCTTGGGAATATTGATGCCAACACTGGTGATCCCCAGATCGGTATGTGCGCATGCCTTTAGCTCCTGAAAGTCACATTATGCCTGAAATTCTTGTTTGATTTCGATTTGTGACATACATAGGATATAACATTTCAATGCTTATATATATGGACAGGTTGGGACACCGATCAGTTCCTTACAGATATTTCAGAGGCTACTTTGGTTATGTCAAGTGTGGTTAAGAATGTGAGTTGAATTAATAATATGTTGCCTTGATATATTCAGGTAATTATCAATATGATACTATTCATGAGTTGTAATGTTTTGATATGGTTGTAGGGTGGGCTTGCACCTGGTGGATTCAACTTTGATGCCAAATTGTTGGTTCCCGCTGACATTGTTTTTTTTTTTTGTGTGTGTGTAAATTGGTCTCTGATTCAACTGAATTTCAATTGACTTGGAATTCTATTATGTCAACAGGAGGAGGGAGAGTACTGATGTTGAGGACATGTTTCTGGCTCATATATCGGGAATGGACACCCTAGCCCGCGGCCTTCGGAATGTTGTCAAGCTGATCGAGGTAACTGGAACATTACAGCCTTCTAAAGTTTTTATTCAGGGATCTAGATGTAATCTTTTTATCTCTTTCTGCTGTTAGGATGGTTCCCTGGATGAGCTTGTTCGCAAGCGCTACCAGAGTTTTGATAGTGAGATCGGTGCCTTGATTGAGGTACAATGTTCAACTACTTTAGAGCTCTTGCTTTCTTACACTTGGATGATTGAATTGAAACAGTAACAATTGGCTCATGGTTTCAAATAGGCTGGGAAAGGAGACTTCGAGACACTAGAGAAGAAGGTTCTGGAGTGGGGTGAACCCATTGTTCCATCTGGCAAGCAGGTAACTGGAATTATAATATACGCATTTAACTTCATAGTATAATAGAAATATCTTTGGGTTGATGATTGCTCATTTTTAACTTTGCTTTCATGTGATTTCTCAATACAGGAACTGGCTGAGATTCTGTTCCAAGCTGCTCTATAGATGGTGCCGTGGTGCTGTTCATAGTTCTAGGAATAAAGCCTAGCACGCCTTTGGAAACGGAATGTGCATTCTATCATTGTCTACTACGAG